ATAATAATATAGAATCACCAAAAGGCATAAACTGTACATACGTTTGAATGGACCTTCTGGGGTATTTACAAAGTTTATGGATGTAATGTTTGTCACCATAGTCAAAAGAAATAGACTCAGATGGTGCAGGTGGAATGTTGCCGAATAAACGACACAGGTTATCGTCCTTTCATTCCGATACTAGTAGAGTAGCGAATCACATATGCAAATGGAAATCCAGACCATATTATTTATGAACTGGGATTGCTGATTTTGAGGGTGTGGGTTCGAATCCCAAATCTGTACTTTACTGAGAAAGTGTAATCCCAAATATAACATATGTATCATTTTGTGAATGTTTACCGAAAAGCGAAGATACAGAGATTGACTGATGCAAGACTAACACTTATGCCACTTGATGATCTACCAACGGAGGAATACCCCCAGCGGCCTAATCTAAATCTTCATTAAACAGTATTTGTGAAATATTACAATATTAGTGTCGGATAAAAGTGAGAAGAACCAAGCAGCTTACAAACTTTCTCCGAGGTCAGGGTTGGACGTAGTGCCTACGGAAGGGGTTGGTATTAAATACTTCTAGTCAGGTTTTGGGTCGCCAACTCTGTTAATAAAATGTAATTCATCAAATTTTAATATTTATAAGGTTAATTTTCATACCATCTGTCTCAGTTGGAAAAATACTTAAACTCCTAGAATAATCAAATAATGAACACATTCTCAGGTGACATTTCTACTTAAAAACAGTAACGTAGCAAATAGCATAAATTGTAAATTTTATTATAAATTGTATATTTATATACTTATCCTATTCACGGTATGCACTACGACCATGTGTGGAAACGTGCTGTAGGCTGAGTTGAATCAAATCTTTGGACCCGCCCTGACCTCTGACCCGCCCTGACCTCTGCCCCCACTCCGACACCAAAAGCTGGAGCTCGCTCAGATGATCATGACTACCTGTGCCTGTCATTCTCGTCTTGGAAGTAATCTGTGATATGGGGCAGGTCATTCTATCGCGTGAGATAGGATAAGTATATAAATATACAATTTATAATAAAATTTTCAAATTTTAAACTTATCCTATCTCACGGTATGCAAATCCCACGGCTGGTAGGCGGGTCGCAGATTACCCCGTTACTACCACCAGGAAAAAGCAAAGGAGGCCAGGAAAAGCACCAACTCCCGATATGCAAACTCCAACTCCAGATGGGTTTCTTCATGTAACCCCTTGGCTTACACAGCACAAAAACTCTAGGGAGTGGGCACTCCCGAATTAATGTGGTTTTCGGCCGCAACTTTTGACAAGCAAAAGGACGCAGTTTGGCAAGTAGGCCCCGCCGCCCCGCGATTTATCAGGTGACCCCAGTGAATTAAAGTAGAGGACCTTAATCTGGCAAGTCCCTGCTTCGAAACTACCCCCCACAGACACACGCTGGACGGCGGTGAAAGAAGGAATAGTTTGGTTGCTCAACTAGTTTAAGGTTCAGTACCAATCTCCTTAACTTACCGAAGGTGAGAAAGGACTCAGGAGCAGAACGCTTCGAAAACCATGTATGTAATCGGAAATCAACACTTCACTGACGTAATTGCTCAGAGAGTGGAGGTCAGTAAGCGGAGTGTCGATCATCTCTGCATGTAGCAATCTTAAAACATCACCCACTGTAGCACAACAAGTTAGCCTGGTCGACTTCGTGTCCATAGCGAAATTTCAAAAGGTCGACTTCGTGTCCATAAACCAGTCCTTTTTCTCCGGAACCTGTCCTAAGTAACTCGCTGGCTTGATAAGCATCGAACCGCTTCTTCCCATAGGTGAGAAATAATCTAATAATCGAATTGTGTTACTTTTTCCTGTTGGTGAGGCGCTATTGTAATCCAGATTATCACCTTGATGTAAACACAGAAGATCTCTGCCACGTTCTGTTCATTGGTATAATGTCAAAGCGGTTCGATGCTTATCTGAACCAGACGAGTCACTTAGGACAGGTCCCGGAGAAAAAGGACTACCGGTGCATTTAGAAGGAGAAGAAAAACTTTTAGGAGAAAAACTTATGCATAAAGAAGCTTTTAATATAGTTGCAAGTGAAAAAATATCACTGGAGAGGTCGGTAAAGGATGTCCGTGATCACAGGTAAGATCGATAAACTGAATTATTGATTTTATTGGCTTGACATGATCAATTTGTACCTTCATTACTTTGGTCAACGTGAGGTATTTGGACCGAGCGACAAGAGTTTATTATTCGGGGGCCGCCCTTTCCGAGCGTTCAGCTACTTGAAGTTACAGTAGCACATTGTCTTGATATTCTGATATATTGACTTTTCATTGAAAGCTCACGTGAGCTTATGTCGTTAATGTAACTATTTACATTTTAGATATATTCTGAGAAACTTAACACAAATGGGGTGTCGAATCTTAATATCAACCACTAATTCAACCATGTTTGTTGTTTAACGTCTTCTTCAGCAATACTCCACCCATATGGCGGCGGTCTGTAAATCAGTCTGGTCCAGATAATCCAGTGATCAACAGCACGTGCATGGATCTACGGGACTGGGATACGACTCAAATACGCAATCTCTTACACACACTCATATATACTCTCTCTCTCTCTCTCTCTCTCTCTCTGACCGCCTCCGTGGTCGTGGGTTCGATCCCCGACCGCGTCATACCAAAAGACGTTAAAATATGGTACTTGTTGGCCCCAGCCTGGCGCTCGGCATTAATGGCTACAACAAAGGACTGGTCGGCTCGGAGTCAGTATAATGTGTCTGAGTAGGGTATTCATGCTTCACTGCTGCATGGTATCTCAGTGGGCTGGCACTATAAAACCAGCTTCAGTCTGGGCTAGTACAAGCAGCCGCACATACACAAACACACGCATGCACGTCGCCATATGAGCGAAATATTCTCAAGTACGACGTTAAACCCAATTTCACCTCACCTCACCTCACTCTCTCGCGCCCGTACACACACAGACAGACAGACGCTACACACACAAACTTGATTCCGTCTAACTCTATAACCACTTGACTTTCCCATCACGCCTTCAATGAAACAGATGTTAACAAATGTGTCATCTCTATATGAAAATATAAGCATTGATTTGAACGCATTAAACGTCATGTACATATAACCATGTGTGCTTAATAGGGCATTAATGTAGACATTACCAGTCAATATACACGTTCAGCAGTAACGTGACCTGCTGAAGACAAAGCATGTCGCCACGCCACGCCACAGTTGGACACGGTGCAACATCGACTACAGGTGACCACGTTCACACGCTGTTGCCAACAACCCTCCAAACACGCGTTCCTTCATACAAACATGTAATTCACCGGAAAAGAGGACACCGCAGACTGGCAACTAATTTCAAAGGATTAAGCAAAATGGATTATAATACCTTGATATCTGATTTAGGAACAAAAGACGAAAAATGCATGCATTTTAACCGATTATAAATTGAAGTGAGGTAAAATTAGGTTTAACGTTGGGTACAAGATTGTTCAGTCTAAGTAAACTTAGGCTCAGTATTATTCGTTACACTGCTATACTGAGTCTAACAAAACCTTGTGGAAGGTCGCGTCAGATTATTGAACGTATACCTACATATGAATGAGTGAGTGAATTAATTTTACGCCGCACTCTGCAATATTCCAGATATATGTCGGCGGTCTGGAAATAATCGAGTCTGGATCAGACAATCCAGTGATCAACAGCTTGAGCATCGATCTGCGCAATTGGGAACCGATGACATGCGTCAACCAAGTCAGCGAGCCTGACCACCAGATCCCGTTATTCGCCTCTTACGACAAGCATGGGTTACTGAAGATCAATATTCTAACCCGGATCTTCACGGGTTTATACCTACATATTATGAAGTATGTATGAATGTGTGTGTGAGCCTAATGGCTAACTGCCGACAAAAGCACTTGCTAATTATTGTCGGTCCTATAGTCCTAACTCACTGAGGTATCACCCCCGCAGTTTTTCCTTTCTGTAACCATGAGGTGCGGTGGGGAGCTTAGTGGAACAGGCACCCCAGCCTTATACTTTCCGTGAGTCCTTGTCTATTTCCTTTCTGTAACCATGAGGTGCGGTGGGGAGCTTCAATACCACAGAGGCAGATGGTTTAAATAACTAAACTTAGTTTAATCCATCGAAATCACGCGGAAGACCGGGTTCGATTCCCCCCCACCGAGATATTGCTGGAATATTGCTATAAGCGGCGTAAAACCCAACACACTCACTCACTCACTCTGAGGGGCGGCGGACGGTGGGGGTAAAGTTTTCGCTCATCACGCCAAATGTCCGGGTTCGATTTCCCGGTTATAATTCGTGAAACACGTTTCTGTTTTCCCACTGGGATATTACAAATATATTGCTCAAACGGAAATACATAGATGGTTAAACCAATTACTAATATATATAACTCACTTGTTTCTTCTTCATGTCATCCGCGGGGCCGCGGGGTAGCCTAATGGTTAAAGCATTGGCTCGTCACGCCGAAGACCCGGGTTCGACATGGGCACAATGTGTGAAGCCCATTTCTGGTGTCCCCCGCCGTGATATTGCTGGAATATTGCTAAAAGCGGCGTAAAACTAAACTCAGTCAGTCAGTCATGTCATCCGCATGTTTGAATGCATTTACACCACCATCCCTGTGAGATGTTCGCCGCCATAAGGCAGCTTGATAATTATACAGGGAAACGTTAATACCTTTGTTCGATCGACGTAATGTTTTGACAGTTTTACAATAATAATCACATCAGCTATCTACTTGCCTACAGCCTGTGTAATATAGACAACACAACTTGTCCATACTTGTCAGAGCGCTTTGAACCACAGCGCATCGTGTAGGCGAGACCCGTCCTTGTCACTGCATATCTCTCCAAGACAGAATGAGAGTGATTCGATTTAAGAAGGTGAAAGTTAAGCATCTAATAATCATTGTGTTATTTTGTGTTGGTGCGGCGCTATTATACACAGACGCCATCGGGATGCGTTCTGAAGAGCTGCCAACCCATGTTCTGTTCATGAGGAAGAAGCGGTTCGATGCTTATCAAGCCAGAGAGTTACTTCGGACAGGTCCCGGAGAAAAAGGACTACCGGTGCATTTAGAAGGAGAAGAAAAACTTTTAGGAGAAAAACTTATGCAAAAAGAAGCTTTTAATATAGTTGCAAGTGAAAAAATATCGCTGGAGAGGTCGGTAAAGGATGTGCGTGATCACAGGTAAGATCGATAAACTGAATTATTGATTTTATTGGCTTGACATGATCAATTTGTAACTTCATTACTTTGGTCTACGTGAGGTATTTGGACCGAGCGACAAGAGTTTATTATTCGGGGCCGCCCTTTCCTTCAGCGAGCGTTCAGCTAGGAAATTAAAAAAAGTGTTTTCTATCAGCTTGTATCTCTGTAATGTATATGTTCCGTATGTAATTTCATCACTTTGGTCAACGTGAGGTATTTGGCCCGAGCGACAACAGTGCGATCTTTGCATCCACGAGTGTTCATCCACGAGTGTTACAGAATCGTTTGTTTGATTGATTATTGATTTGTTTGCTTAACGCCGCACTCAGCAATATTGCAGCTATATGGCGGCGGTCTCTAAATCATCGAGTCTGGACCAGACAATCCAGTGATCAACAGCATGAACATCGGTCTACGCAATTGGGATACGGTGACATGTGTCAACCAAGTCAGCGAGCCTGACCACCCGATCCCGTGACCAATTGTAACCATAACCTTCTGCATTGTCGTATTGTCTTTGATCGATATTCTGATATATTGACTTTTCATTGAAAGCTCACGTGAGCTTATGTCGTTAACGTAACTATTTACATTTTAGATATATTCTGAGAAACTTAACACATATGGGGTGTCGAATCTTAATACCAACCACTAATTCCGATCTGGTTGGTTTCTTTGTTGTGTAACGTCAACTTCATCAATACTCCACCCATATGGCGGCGGTCTGTAAATTAGTCTGGTCCAGATAATCCAGTGATCAACAGCATGTGTATCGATCTACGGGACTGAGAGACGATGCATTAACGACACATCGTGACGTTCGCACGTTATCCACGTGAATATTCTTGAAAACCTGACGGACTATTTTCACGTTCCTGGCAACCGCCTTGGCTGGATATACATGTATAAACATGTTGTTTCTGATAATTTAGGGACTTTAATCTTGGACGTAATGTTTCAGCATATATTTGGCCATGCCATTTCCATGCAAGTCCGCGGCGACAGAAAAACTGTACATCTAAATATATATACCTAAACTATGGACTCGATCAGTGTTCAGACTGACAAGTCCGCGACGAAAGAAAAACTGTACATCTAAATATATATACCTAAACTATGGACGCGATCAGTGTTCACACTGACAAGTGACAGTCTACACCAATCGATAACTCTACCTCAATATCAGTTTGACACATCTGTGTATTCACATGTCAAAATCAACAAACTGACAAAGGACACCTGTGATCGTCACGGGTTTATGGACAACTTGGGAAATCTCTCCTGTCACGTATATCACGTCGGCCATTTTGTCGTCTTGTATATTTCATACAAATGTATTCATTGCGTTAGTTCATTAGAAATCCATTGCTCTCATCAACGTAAAGAAGACCTCATATACAGAAAGATATTGTTTTTGGTTTTAGGAGATTTAACAATACTACCCCGATTTGGACCTCCAAATCACTGTCACCAGAGGTTGAAAGCCGTATGAACCAGTATGATCTATAATTGTATGTGGAAGAATGAGTGAGTGAGTATGATTTTACGCCGCTTCAAGCAATATTCCATCAATATCACCAGAAATAAGCTTCACACATTGTGTCCATGCGTGGAATCGAACCCGGGTCTTCGGCGTGACGAGCGAACGCTTCAACCACTAGGCTACCCCACCGCCCCCTATCTGGAAGAAGAATGTAATGCATGTAACACAAAGTGGGAACAGACTAGGCTGCACACAAAACCTGAATCTGTGTCAGGGATACTTCGCGACGACAAAGCAAATTTAAGTTCGCTTCATGTTCTTTTAGGATGTCCAGTATATTGCTTGTTACCTATGCTCACACTTTGGATATATCAGTCCGGAAACGTTGTGTTGACATAAAAAGTGAATTATTATTAGCGAGAAAAATCACCCTAAAGAGTGCTTATAGCGTTACACGGTTACCCTGGTCAATGGATCACGTGCACTCAATGTTCGTTATCGACTCCATGGGGACAATACAACATATCTACCTATGACGCATTGATGAGACCGAAATATTCCACATATAAGTATATTTAAATTGATACTGAATGATTAATGGTTTTACTCTGCGGGTGTAAATTTGAATATTAATAATGTGAATATTCATAAAAGGCCAAAAACACACCACAAAGGTGCCTAAAATGCTTCACTCCAGTCAGCTGATCTGTGATCCCTTAATTTTCTTTCTCTGCTCCCTGGGATGTATACGACCCAAGCTATTTATGTGAAACATTTATAAGTCCGGAATGTTCTCCAAGTCCAGCTGAAAGCAGTATCAAAGCTCAATGATGTATGGTTTTACTTCCAGGTGTAAAGATATTATCTACCCTAAGAATCTGCCAAGTGCAAGTGTTATAATAATCTACCACAACGAAGCGTGGACGCCGTTACTGAGGACGGTGCACAGTGTGATAAACCGATCTCCGCCAGAGTATCTACACGAAGTTATATTACTGGATGATTTCAGTGACCGACGTAAGTAACCATGGTAACGGTTAACCAATCATTCAGACTGCCACGCACCTGTGTAAACTGACGTAAAAAAGAAAGTACACACCTAGACAAAAAACACCCCCAACAAAAACCAACAAAAAACAAACCCAACGTAAATATTTGGAAAAGTGTTTTGAATTAGATAATAAGTCACACACGTTGTGCACGCCGTGATATTGATGGAATATTGCCAAAAGCGGCGTAAAACCATACTCATTCACAAGGATTATGTAACTTCTTAGTTGATTTCTCGCGGCCATTATACATGAAAGGAGGAAACGAAGGGGCAAGTAAGGTGACTGATGCGCTTCTTATGTCATTATTGTGCAGAAACAACATTTGATGGCAGTAATTATTTTTGGAAAAGCTGAAAATTAGCAGCAATTAGCGCCAAGTATCCATCTGTCTAGTTGCTCACTGGACGCTGAATCACAATCTGATTATTATTAAACCGGATAAGAAAGCTGCCCACATGGGTTCAATGTGTGAGGTCCATTTCTGGTGTCCCCCGTAGTGTTATTGATGGAATATTGATGAAAGCGGCGTAAAACAATACCCACTCACTCGCTTTTTGTGCAGTACAGTAATGATCAGGTTGATCGCTGATCGCTTTGAGGAACGGGGCCCTGGTCAGGAGAGACTGACGACCAACGACGGACCTTCTTGAACTCGAAGCGAACTCAACGTTCCTCAAAGCGATCGTAGCGCAAAGTTGATCGTAACTCCCATACTTTAACAGCGCTAAGTTGTAGCGCTACGATCGCTTTGAGGAACGGGGCCCTGACCGTTTTGAGGTCTTATCAGAAACAGCGCCCTGCAAAGATGAAGCTTCAGTTCTCTGATGGAAAAGGTCATATTTTTATTCCCATGAAAATCATGATCAGTTTATTTTCTGACTCGATTTTCTTTTAAGTAACCCTATGGATCCTGAGCATATCATCTTTAAATTTGTGACATGGATAGGTCTACTGGGGGCTCATATAGTCTTTTGTGAATGTTCATTTTTCGAGTTTCCATGGGAACAACTTTGACATGGAAACGATGGACGCTACAGAAATATATCTTGAATTGTTCACCACACTTGGCACATACATAGGGGTATTGAAAAGGTATCTTTTAGTAGTTCCTGAAGAATCTATTTTTCGAGTTTCCATAGCAACAACTTTGATTGGCCATTGTGGTAAAGCTCGTCTCTGGAGCAAGTCTTACATGCTGTGCAATATTTCTTTATCTTACTTGGCACACACATGGGTTCAAGTTTAAACCCCCAGTTTAGTCACATCAGCAGATAATCATTGTATTGAAACAAGTTTGTCACATGGGCATAGTCTACAGCGTGTGTGTCAATTGAGTCTATGTAAAGAACATAATGACGGAGTATTTACCATTGAAGAGGATGACGTTTTCATGTTGTTGTTGTTGTTGCAGCTGAGTTGGGAGACAAGTTGAGGACCTACGTAGAGAAGACCTGGCCCGATGGCATCGTGAAGATGGTGAGGGCCCAACAGAGGAGTGGCTTGATACGGGCCCGTATCGAAGGCGCCAAGGCTGCCACGGGTGATGTCATCGTGTTCCTGGATTCTCACTGTGAGGCTGGGACACAGTGGTGAGGGGAAACTTCATTACATGTCTTTACGGATTCAGAAATAAAAAATAAAAAATAAAATAAATAAATAAATAAATAAATAAATAAATAAATAAATAAATAAATAAATAAATAAATAAATAAATAAATAAATAAATAAATAAATAAATAAATAAATAAATAAAATTATGAAGTAAAAGTAAAATAAAATAAGATAAAAAATAAAGTAAAAAAGATAAGATAAAAAAAAATAAATAGTAAAGTAAGAAAAAGTAAAATAAAATGAAATAAAAATAAATAAAATAAAATACAATGATGGGTGAATGAATGGATGAATGATTGAATAATTATAATAAATAATTATAAAATAAACACAATCACGTAAATAAACTTTAAAAAATATCCTTTATATTTTTCTAACACTAAAAATTGTAATTTCAATTATTGTTCTGTCAATGTCGAAAACAAATGGAAAGATATAAAAAATAGGATGTTAATACAGTTGAACGGAAATTTGCCATTGTTGCAATTGATTAAAGTTATTCGTCTTATTCCCTGCATAACAAGTCTTTACATATGGGTGGGTAGACTTCATGATCAGGTCTCTGTTGTAAAGGTTGGAGCCGATCCTTGCTCATATACAAGAAAACCGGAAGACGGTGGTGTGTCCGATCATTGACGCCATCAACGACAACACACTGGAATACTCCAGTGTTGGCGGCTACAACGTGGGAGGGTTTTCCTGGAGTATGCACTTCACCTGGAGAGACGTCCCAGAGAGGGAGAAAGTTCACCGGAAATACACAGACCCAATCAGGTACATACTGCTGAAATATCATCTTAGTTACCGGAAGTCGTGTAATTGGTGCCGTTCGTTTCCGGTTTGGCTCCCATTTCCGGATGACGTTCCTTCTTTTGTATTCTTACATTGCGCTGTGAAAACATTATGTTTTACAGTAACAACATCACGTTAACGACGGCACTACATCACGTTAATTTTTTACTGTTAGTCTTACTGTAATCTGAAGAAGAATACTTACGAGAAACTTGTAACATTTACGAGGAGGAATGACGATGATTTTGGAATTAGTAGATGGCCGGCTCTGTATTCAGACCAATCAGATATTCTTCAAATCGAAAAGATGACTTAGTTGTTTTACCCGGAATATATGTGCAGTTATGGTTGTTAATGTCTTGTCAATAAAATTATTAAGATGTCAGCCACGATGGCTAAGAATCGCTTTGTTCAATGGTCACGTCGAAACATCATCATGACGTCACATAAACTAGGTCTGACCCTCCCACTCTCTAACTCACTCACTCACTCACAACGGTTCTGCATTCTAACATTCTCATTTCAGCTCCCCGACAATGGCTGGAGGCTTGCTGGCGCTGGATAGGAAGTTCTTCTGGGAGATCGGAGCTTATGATGACGGGATGGACGTGTGGGGAGGGGAGAACCTCGAGATCTCCTTCAGAGTAAGTTGAGGGACTTCCGTTAACCTCGAGCTCATCACAACGTAACCCACTGTGGGGGAGGGAATAAACATGTCGGGAAGAACAGTGGATTGAGATGCCATTCAGAGCAAGTGTCGCACCACTCCTCGCATGGAATGCGTGTCCCCCTACCACCAACCCTTAAAATGATTTATTGTCAAAAAAATACATATGAATATATAATTCAGGTTTTTCTATGACAAGTTAAAGGCGATTGAACTGTGGCATGTTCCAGACGTGGATGTGTGGGGGCCGGCTGGAGTTTCTACCGTGTTCCCGTGTCGGACATATCTTCCGTTCCAGTCATCCCTATACATTCCCAGGTAACCATGGTGATTAGTGTGAATGTTTGTTTGGTTTGCAGTTTAACTCCGCACTCTCCAGTTGTCCAGCTAAATGACTAAATAACCTAATCGAGTCTGTGGTGACACTGGGAGTTCGCGAAAATGTCAGCATATGCTGTCCTGCCGATGGCACCCGTGACACACGCAAAGACACGTGAAACGTTTACTGCCAATACTGGATACAAAAAACAGAAACCGGAACAGATGTGGGGCGCGGTGGGCGAGCTGGCTAAAGCGCCAGGCTAATGATCCAGCGAGCGTGAGGTGACCGGGTGTAAAAACCTTGGAGTCAACTTTGTGTGCAGACTCTTTCAGTGTTGTCACAACCCCTAGTGTAGAGTACACAACCCTGTGCACTTAAAAGAACCCACGAATCCGTTGGTATAGACCAGATGGTGGCCGCATGAATACGTGCAAACACTTATAGTTTGGCATGAAATGCATGTGGACCCGGTATTTTGTAAATATCTCTTCATCCAATGATCCAATCGATCTCAAACTGTGCAAGTGGATGTTTTGTCAGACAACCTAATCACATTGTAAATCACCGATTTTATGCATTTGTATTAAAGAATCTGTCTATGTAACTGTCAACAAAATAAACAGCAGAACGCAGACTGCTTGCAGAGGGAGGGAGCCAATGACCTGTAACAGTGGCAGTGTTGGGTCATAAAGGTCAATGCACGTGCAGTTCATTATAGTTACCTGTGCACTGCACAGTGATAGACGGTTTGGATCATTCACATTGACTACTTATAGCTGTCATCATGAACGCTTATTCAGATGATGCTAAACGTTTAATTAGAAATGTGTTGAATTTTTTTTTAAAAGATAGCAAACGTAGCAAACCGATTTATAAGGTGTCGGATTACATGAAACGTACAACTTTTGCTCTTGGCATGAAAAAGAACATCGTGCTAAAAATTGTGAAAAATAAACCAACAACCAATAAACAAAACCTTGTACAAAAAGGTAGGCATCCATCAGGGTCATCAGAGATGTCATTCGCCGGCTATTTGCTAGAAATGAACACCTGTCCACAAGAAAGTTAAAAACACATCCTTGCAGAGGATCACGACATTAATGTTTCTAGGTTTATGCTAAGCAAACTACTGCTCAAATTTGGATACAAGTACATGAAGGTAGCAAGCCAGAATCTTGTAATGTGTGAGAGATCTGATATTGTGAAAATAAGGTGTAACTATCTGAGAGAAATTAAGCAGGCAAGAAAGGATGGGTTCGAACCTATATATCTGGATGAGACCTGGGTCAATGCAAACCATACTGCTGCCAGACAGTGGCTACCCACTGATCGCAGTGATGGTAGGAAAATACCAACAGGCAAAGGTGAACGTTTAATGGTTCTTTATGCTGGTTCCCACCGTGGATGATTCCTACCTGGGTGTGATCTGGTATTTCGGTCAAAGAGCACAGACACAGGTAGGGACTATCATACAGAAATGAACTCAACGGTTTTCACACAGTATGTTGAGGAACAATTGTTGCCAGCTCTGCCTTACAAAAGTCTTTTTCATGGACAATGCTCCCTATCACAGTGTTCAAGATCGAAACAATAGGTGCCCAACTTCCAATACAAAAAGTCAGATATGCAGCAATGGCTAACAAATAACAATATACAATTTTCAATTAAGGCCACTAAACCACAGTTGTACTCTTTGATTAAACCTAACAAACCTCCACCCACAACTAACATTGACAACATGCTTTGGAGTCAACTTTGTGTGCAGACTCTTTCAGTGTTGTCACAACCCCTAGTGTACAGTACACAACCCTGTGGACTTAAAAGAACCCACGAATCCGTTGGTATATGACCAGATGGTGGCCACATGAATACGTGCAAACACCTAGTTGCGGGTACAGCAACGTGCAGTAGACTTGGACAAAGTACTGTGACTATGTGTCCCAGTCCACCCAGCTGTGAATGGGTACCTCGTACGGATGAGAAATCCACAATAACTCGGTGCGCCTAGTGGCTGCAAGAGTTGTATACTCCCCAAGGAGTTGAGATTGATAATACGATGTGCCATTGAGATTGACATCCAATGATCGAGGGAAAACATATCAGCGCCTTGAGCATGTACTAAAGTACTGTCGGAAATAGAAAAACCCTGTTTTTAGGCTGTTACTCTTTATCCCTAAAATTGACAAATTTACAAATACCACATATCGAAATAACCCACATCGGCGAAACTGGGCGTTCAGTGGGATGCGTAAAAGGATATCCAGAAAAGCATGTTTATTCGTTAAATCGGGCAAAACTTAGAAAATATACGAATAGCTGCTGAAAACAATAGATCAGACTATAGATGGCAATTAGGTCGCTCAGCCTGGTATGACGACGGACCGTCAACTCACCTGGCATGAAATGCACGTCCATGCTACAAGCACAAGGGGTCATCTCAAAGATATTTTATGCTTTTTCACCTGTGTCGAATATGTCTCATCTATTGATCATAAAGTTTATGTTGAGATACGAAAAAGGGTATGATACCCACGGAAAAGGTTAAATCAGCCATCGCATGACCACCCGAAGATCGACAGGACTGGATATTATTTGTAAATTGTTATGACATGCCGTTTGCTTCCCAGTTTAATTCCCCTAAAGGATTGTCGTTTATCAGCTTATATCTCTATCCCCCCAGCCCGACCCCAACCACCGTCTGCGACACCCGTCCTGGATTTGCTTTTGAGACGACCCCTCCTACCTGTTTCCTCATATAGTGATAGTGAGACTGCATGGTAGCTACACCCTTCATAGTTTCAGTATTAAAGCTATTATTTTTTACGTCAGCTATCGTTTATAATGAAGCTAAGTTTTATTTTAAAAATGGACATTTAAAAATTGTCCTTTGTAATATAAAATCATCGCACACTCATTTGCATAAAGCCATGGTCTGTTCCAAATAAGTCGCTTTGGACTTAGAAAAAAACCGCATTTCTCATTTCTGCACTAATCTCTCCTCAGTAAAGTCCCTTTTCTACGTTTCCAATCTCCCTACCACTGAAACTGTAGTTAGGCCGAACTTAGTTTAACAGATATTTCACACTTACACATATCAACTACATAAATTTTAGATATTAATGCGAAAAAACATTTTGTTTCTATTTCCGACAGTACTTTAGTTGCCCGGATATGTGCGCTATATTAATATCCTATAATAACGTACAATAAGGTCAAATAAGGCAATTGCATCGGACATCACTTTTATCACTGATGATCTAATTATGGAAGCAAAAATTGCAGGGTCACTGTCGAGCAACAGTCGCATGGCACTCTTTGAAGTCTTCTCCCAGTAAGGGGCGGTGGGGTAGCCTAATGGTTAAAGCGTTGGCTCGTCACGCCGAAGAATCGGGTTCGAATCCCCACATGGGCACAATGTGTGAAGCCCATTTCTGGTGTCCCCCGCCGTGATGTTGCTGGAATATTGCTAAAAGCGGCGTAAAACCAAACTCAGTCAGTCAGTCAGTCTTGATCCAGTATGAACATTTGGATATTATTAATAACCTAAGTTCGTAACTTTACAGGGCCAAAATTAAGAACTGTCATATTTTATTACTTATGTGTTATACTATGGTAATGCCACGCACGTAGATTTCTGAAGGATTGTATTGGAGCCAATGACCTTGTACTGAACACACTGAATATTTCCAGGCGGTAAGGACACTCATGGTTTAAACTCAGCGAGGGTGGCTGAAGTCTGGATGGACGATTATAAAAGATTATTCTACATGCACAGACATGATTTGAAGGTACGGTATTTTGTGTTCTTGTTATTTAGTAATATTTGGCTGAAATGTATGTAGGGCGGTGGGTAGCGTAGTGGTTAAAGCGTTCGCTCGTCACGAAGAAAGCCCGGGTTCGATTCTCCACATGGGTACAATGTGTGAAGCCCGTTTCTGGTGGGGTAGCCTAGTGGTTAAAGCGTTCGCTCGTCATGCCGAAGACAAGGGTTCGTTTCCCCACATGGGTAGATTGTGTGAAGCCCATTTCTGGTGTCCCCAGCGGTGATATTGGTGGAATATTGCTAAAAGCGAGGGAAAACCTCACTCACTGAGATATATGTAGACACACTAACACTAAACGTGCCAAGTCCTTTCAATGGCACACGAGACTCAAAAGCATTCTTTTGTGGAAGGATTACAAAGAATCATGATCAGCTGATTTTAAATCTACCGATTCATGTAAGAAAAATAGTTCCTTTTGCAGAACGGTTTTACTCTCCATGATTATGGTTTGTTTTTACGAATTTCTGAATGTCTCTCAGTCTAACCTGCCATTGTGTACGTTGTTGTAGTGAGTTAGTGAGTGAATGAGTATGTTTTTTCCGCCGATTTTAGCAATATTCCAGCAACATCACGGCGGAAGTGACCAGAAATGGGCTTCACACAATCTACCCATGTGGGGAAACGAACTCTGGTCTTCGGCATGACGAGCGAACGCTTTAACCACTAGGCTACCCAACCGCCCATGTTGTAGAATATACACATGTTTGTGAACGTATATAAGCGTATGTAAATTATGTGAGGTGTGTCAATCTTTTCCGCAACTGATTATATGCTAATCCGAAAAAGTTGTTAAATGTTTCAAGATATATTTATCATGACCTTGCATTCAAATTCTCTCAATCTATCCTCACTTTTTGCATTTCATGGTTGAAAACGTGTTTGAGTCTGAATATGATACAAACACCGTATGTCGAACTTTGATGTGTCCAGTTTACGGTTGTGTCGAAGTAAAAGCTTGGTTTCAGCGTTTCCTTTTTAGTCATCATGCAGTTGCCTCAAACCTCTGATAACTCGAAATATTTACGAAGCAACCTTCAACTTCAACACAGCTAAAGTTTCGAAGTCAGTCAAACCTGGTACTGTGTTTATTGTTGTAGAATAAAGATTTCGGTGATATATCTGCCCGAGTTGATCTCAGGAAGAAAGCTTCAGTGCAAGAGTTTCAAGTGGTACCTGGACAACGTGTACCCAGAGAAGTTTGTTCTGGATGAGGGCGTCCAAGCATATGGTATTGTGAGTGGGAGTTTAGTCACACCGATTTCAATATTTTGGACAAGCTGTCTGAGGGGGTTCACCTGAGATCACCTGGATTTGGTGATTGTTTTTTGTTGTTATTTTAATTTATTTGTTTTTTCGAGACCGCATTCAAAAATTTTCCGTCCATATGACCTCGATCTGTGAAAAAATCGAGTAACAGACAATCCGATGATTGACACCATCAGTATCGATCTTCGCAATTAGGATTCGATGACAGCGACCAGTTCAGTTCAGTGATCCAGTTATTTACCTCTTTCGACAAGCATGGGATGCTCAAGACCAATTCTAACCGGGATATTCATTTTGGTAGAAAAGTGAGTGAGCGAGTTTAGTTTTATGCCGCTTTTAGCAATATTCCAGCAATATCACGGTAGGGGACACTAGAACTGGGCTTCAGACATTGTACCCATACATCGAAGGTTACGGCGTGATACGAATTGTGATGGCTGTTAGGAAACCCTCGCAGCCCTGAGTGGCGCCGCGCTGACTCTTGCATCGAGAAAGCATGAAATTAAATGGTCACAAATCGTGATAACTGTTAGGTTTTCCCCTGAATAGCGCCGCGCTGACGTCTTCCCTTCGAGGAGCAAAATAAATAGGTCACAAATGTGAGTATATAGAAAGTTTCTCCAGGAAGTGATTCAGACAGACAAAGATTTGTCGTTGTGTCAATCTCATGAAAATCATATCTAAGGACATCCAACTTGATGTCACGCAATACAGAACTCTAATCGACCAAAGAAATGACAAACAGGAAGTCGACATTAACCAACCAAAAGACACTAGATTCAAAATGGCGAGTATAGTCTGTTGGCAGTGAAAACGTACCGATGAAGTTAGCTTTAAACAAAAAAGTAAATCAAATAAAGTGAAATTAAGGTTGCGAATCCCCTTAATTTTACCTTGCCAATTGAACATTTAAATCTCAGAATTTTATTCATCTTAGGATCATAGATTCAAATCGCTATTATTGGTTTGTATTACAAGGGGGTAAGCGTAGTAGTTGGAACAGTGAAACAAATGCGTCTGACTTTGTGTGCTGGCGATTAGGTGCCTGACTCTGAGGGTGTGGGTTCGCATCCCGGATGGGACTCAACCCCCCCCCCAAAAAGTACTAGAATCTGTACTTAACTGAGAAAGTGTAATCCCAAATATAACATATGTTACATTTGACCACTTTCTAAATGGCATTGTGTATTTCATAGTGAAACAAATGCACGTGCGGTACGTGATGAGCGTTAACTTAGACCAACCATACTTGTTCTAGGTGTTTCATCTAATGTGCATACCCCCTTGTAATACAAACCAATAATAGCGGTTTGAAAGCATGATCGTTTGTTAAACAACTTTTATCCTAAGTTGAATAAATTTCTGAGATTTAAATGTTAAATTGGCAAGGTAAAATTATGAGGATTCGCAATCTTATTTTCACTTTATTCGATTTACTTTTTTGTTTAAAGTGAAATTCATCGGTACGTTTTCACTGCAAACAGACTATAGGTCTCAATGCCCAAGGATAGTGAACGTTGTAAGGCAATTATTTTTCCATATTTATCTTCATTCATACTAGGGTTTTCTTTCCAGGTGAAAGCCGTGGATAGTTCACTCTGTCTGGACACTCTGAGTGGAAATGACAAGATGGAATACGACCTGGGAGTGTATTATTACCAGCGAGGCACCAGTACTAACCAGGTAATAGCTGTTAGATCATACATACATCAGTTAGATCATACCCACATCTGTTAGATCATACATATATCTGCTTTATCTGAGTTCTGTTTATGGAAGTTCCCAAACGAGACATAACTGATGTGTATAATAGGGATTTGAAAACAAATAATCGTTTTATATGTGAAAAGAACCCTGAAAATTTGTAAAGGTGATGCAGCGCAAAGAAAGACTGGAACAAGCCTTTTTGAAATTCGCTGTATACATGTCAGTACAATGTTAATAATCTTCATATTATTTATTTAAATCCTTTCATTTATGTGAGGTCACCCTTTCTGTTTTCAGCTTTTTTCCCTGACTCAGACACACGAGCTACGTCGGGAAAATCTGTGTTTAGACTCTTCAGGGGACGACGGTAGTGTCGCCAGGATGACGTTGTGTTTTAAAAAGACGCCAGGGATGAAGTGGAAACATGACGTGGTTGGTTTTTAAGACAATTTGATTTCTCCTAAAATCAAACTTTCAGAATAGCGCCCCTTAGTAATGTACCAGGATCCGCATACCGCAAGCGATTGAGATCTTTTGTTTGTCAGCAACACACCCCTGTTCTGTGCGATCAGTGTTACTTAGGGATCTGGGTCGGTTGGGTAGTCCAGTGGTTATAGTGTTCTCTTGTCACACCAAAGGCCCGGGTTCGAGTCCCACATGGGTACAATCTGCGAAACCCATTTCTGGTGTCCTTCCGCCGTGACATTGCTGGAATATTGCTAAAAGCGGCATAAAAATCAAATAGGTCACTCGCTTAGGGTTCTTTAACAATTTATATTGTGGTGTGAAACCCGCGCGCGTGCTCACTCACACAGTCACTCACTCATACATCAACCATCCACTCACTCACCCACCCACCCATCATTCCGTCCGTGGCGACGTTACAAAATCATTTTCTCCCTCGTGACATATTAATATCAACCTGAAGTGTGCCTCTCACTATATATTAAGCATATCTTCTTTTCCTGGAATAACCGCATTTGAGGTTTTTGTTTGCTTTCAGGTTTTACCTTTTGTAGGTAAGACGTCTTACCAGGTTTTACTCTTTTGTATTAAGACCTCTTCCCAGGTTGTTTTTTTCCTAACTCTATATGAACATCAACATTCAAATGATATATGAGTGTTTGAAATCAATTGATATATATCGTCCAAGATCAATTGCAAAGTGCAAATGTTTCCCAAACAGCATTAGAACCGCATCTATCAGGTTATTAAGCGGACGCTCTACCTCACGGCCACCGAGTCGTCGAAGACGTCGGGGTTGAATTATCTATTTATAGTTACTGTCATTAAATTGATTTTACTTGCGCTTCAGTTATTGTTATGTAGCTTCATTAAATGATCATCTACATTATGATTATCGATCAATGGCGGTTTATATGTTAGGGAAGACATTTCCTCTGGGGAAGTGTTTTCTCCTATACGTAATACTGCTCTGAGCAATATTCCAGATGATGGCGGCTCTTTGAATAATACGAGGACCAGACAATCAAGGGATTGATGGAAGCATCGACCAAGTCCACGATCTTAAACACCCGCGCCAATTCCTCTAAAGCGATCGTAGCGCTATGACTGTATTGGGGGTACCGTATTTCCTCTAATAAGCACCGAACGCTTATTTTTTCAATGGAGTTCCAGACCCTGCGCTTATTAGAAGCCCGGCGCTTTTGCGCTTACTGGGTCTAATTACCGTATTTGTTATTGAGCTGCTTTACCCACGGCGCTGATTGGAGGAGACTTACGGGACGCTAATCGCCTTCTACGATCACACCGGAATTCCCAAGGGTTAACGTGATAAATATCTGTTGGATTTTCACGATATAATGATATTTTATTTTGGTCCTTGTCAGTATCATTTTCTTTATTTTGTTTTGGTCACTCTCGGTAAACTGGGGTGGTGGGGTAGCCTAATGGTTAAAGCGTTCTCTCGTCAAGCCGACCCGGGAGGGATCGATTCCGTGCACAGGTACAATGTGTGAAGCCGATTTCTGGTGTCTGGTAAAATCAGCGTATAACCATACTCACTCACTCACTCACTTGTATTTCAGGACCAAGGTACACTCATTCAGGAGAAGTCCGGCAAGTGTTTGGACAGAGCTGACCTTAGTTCCGGTGACATCGTCAAAGTAAAACCATGCAATGGAGGAAGCTCACAGAAGTGGATGTTTGAAAGTGTCAGTCTATGATGGACTGTCAAGAAAGGTCATTGTTATGTTAAGTCATCAATTTCATGTTTGCTCAGAAGTCCAAGACAGAATCTACGGAGAGTGTTTTTATGCTAACCAAAGAAAGGAAGGATTTTTGTTTGTTGTTTAACGCTGCACCCGGTAATATTAAAGCTATGTGACGGTGGTCTGTAAATAATCCAGTGATTGATATCGTGAGCATCGATCTACGCACGTGGGGTACAATCACATGCAACAAATGATTAGCAGCCCAACTAACCCTATAGAATTAGTCTTCAGTAACCCGTGCTTGTCGAAAGTGGCGACTGACGGGATCGGGTGGTCAGGCTCGCTGACTGACTCGGTTCACACATGTCATCGTATCCCAATCGCGTAGATTGGTGCCCATCCTGTTGGTCACTTGATTGTATGGCCCAGACTCGATTATCTACAGACCGCCGCCATATAGCTGGAAAAATACTAAGTGCGGCGTAAAACTAAACTCACTCACTCACTCAATAACGTTAGTTGCTTCTAACAACAAGCATGTATTGCTGAAGACCATTTCTTTCCCAGAACTTCACAGGTAGGGAAAGAAATGAACGGAACGGTTATCAAGGACACAGATTAAGCTGCCCGCCAAAAGAAAGTATACACTGAAAACTGGATTTGACTAAACACAATTAACGCTATCTAGATTTTACTAGGCAGAAAACAGGTCGCCAATACTACATACTCAGGTCCAAAGCTGAACCATAATACGTAAAATATACTTTCATTTGCGTAAAAGATACTTTCATCTACGTGAGAGCATACCTACATGTATACCATATATGGAGATATAAGTATCATGTTTGTTGATGTAAGTATGGTCTACGTAGATAATAAAAACAATATGGTACTAATACGTTTCCATACGTAATATACATCAGGTCAGTCACCTTTTGTGTTCAATTGTTAGTTACAACAAAAGCTTTGGGGTATACTTTCTTTTGCCCCGTAGTTACGACACGGAGTGATATGAGTGAGTGAGTATGGTTTTACGCCGCTTTTAGCAATATTCCAGCAATATCACCGCGGGGGACACGAGAAATAATATGATTGATATGAAACATCACCAAATGAATGCAATAACAAAATCGTCGTTTATCCCCAATTTCTTTCTACCAGTATATTTAAGGTGATAGCCACATATATAATAGGGGGAAAGCAGAAACGAACCGATACAGGTTGATGTTATATACTGTGCCAGAAAAGTAGGGCATAGTGGGAATAAACAAGACATATTGTCTGATACAAGTGATATTGGTAAATGAAAATGAAATGATCATATTTATTGGGAAGCAGGCCATCAGATCTATGAGGTCGGATGGGTGCTATCGGAAGGATCGGAACTGCTTAACCTTTTCGCGAATATTTAGTGCCATTATGAATACACAATGGCGTTTAGAAAGTGGTCAAATGGAAGATATGTTATGTTTGGGATCACATTTTTTCGGTAAAGTACAGATTCTAGTACTTTTGTTAGATTGAGTCCCATCCGGGATTCGAACCCACACCCTCAGAATTAGGCACCAAATCAGCAATCTAACCCACCCAGCCGCTCGAAGACCCGGGTTCGATTCTCCACATGAGAACAACGTGTGAAGCCAATTTCTGGTGTCCCCTGCCCTGATATTGCTGGAATATTGCTAAACGTAAAACTTTACTCACTCACTCACTACTTTCATTGCCAGACATTGGCGTTCCCCCGTAGATTCACCTGAAAGCAAACTATCCCCCTACTTTTTTAGCATTGTATACAGCAATGTGTCCTATGTATTTTAGTAAGAGCTACATATAGTTAGAGGTATGTACATGTAGTTATCAATATCTGTCACGTGACTCGAACATCTGTCGGCCAGGCTGTTACATCTCCAAGTACACACCTAAAGGTGTTAACACAGCTGTTCCCTCCTGTGGTTAACGCCGATAAATACCCCGTGACAACCTCTTCCGCCCATCGAACACTCACTACTACATGTATTACCAAATTTAACACGCATATAATGTTTGCACAGCTTGTTGTAATCAATATATATTGAGACACTTTATGGAAAGAGATTTTCCTTGCCTTGATTTGAACCAAACGTTTTTGATGTATCATTGGTCATTGTTTGTTTGGTGTTTATTCTCAGCAATATTCTACTATATGACGGAAGTCTGTAAGTGAGTGATTGACTTTAGTTTTACGCCGCACTCAGCAATGGCGGCGGTCTGTAAATAATCGAGACTGGACCAGAAAATCCAGGGATGAACAGCCTGAGCATCGACCTAAGCAATTGGGATACGATGACATGTGTCAACCCAGTCAGCGAGCCTGACCACCCGATCCCGTTAGTCGCCTCTTACGACAAGCATGAGTTACTGAAGATCAATTCTAACCCGGACCTTCACGGGTCGAATCTGGAACAGACAACCCAAGACTTATGCTATAAAACAAGATTACAAGAAAGGAGTAGTAATTGTGTTGTATGCATTTGCCTAAAAAGTAGAGTTGATGTTTTGAGTACCTTAATTATTTCAAAACATTTTACAACTCCGATTTCAACTAAATTAAATCTATTAAATTCAGTTAAAGTAAAAATAAATCAATGTTCAATAAAATTGTAAATAATGGTGAATACCCGGATGAATAGGGAAGGTAATACCATTCCTGTAGGTAAATCGTAATTAAATGATAATAATAAAATACAAATACAAATAAATAGTGTAAACAAACAACCTAAATAATTACAGGGGAATATCACGAATAAACTCAATTTGTAAATTATTTGCATCCATTTTAAACAAAAGAATTTATAAGTCTTGTGTGAATACAACAACATATTATATGAAGTTTCAGAGAAAATAATTAAACAACGTTAACAGATAATACTTAATATTTCAGGTCATGAAATATTAAGCATTAATATTAATATTAAGTAGAAATAGCTAACACAATCAAATGGAAGATTGTACTGCCTCTTCATTGACTCCTCTTTGACGGTATTAACTATGAAACTTTCAAACCCTTCTACAAACAGGAGCATCTTCCAAATTTTGAAATTCATTGTGGGTTAACAGACTATTTTGAATGTAATATTGACATGGCTAGAGATGTATTTCGATTTTTATCACGTTCATAAATTAGCTGATCACAAAACTGTTTTTGTTTGTTTGTTGTTTAACGCCGCACTCAGCAATATTCCAGCTATATGTCTGTGGTCCATAAATAATCGAATCGACCAGACAACCCAGTGATTAACATCATGAGCATCGATATACGTAGTTGGGATACGATGATTCATGCAAAGATTGAAAGATTGTCTTGTACAAATCTGGTATCTAATAATGAATCAACAAAATGTAAATATTACATCTTAAAGGAATGCAAATGTCTATTGATCCCAGAGCTATTACTATCCAATGACATGCCAGTTAGTATATTTCCTCAATTTAGATTCCAGGACGAACTCCATGTACGTATAATTTGCCTAGGAAATCTTATTATTAGAAACAATACCTACGTCATCACTTTATGTATGAATCCATGCAGCATTCCCTTCTTTGCTGTCAACATAAGGTAACACTATTGCTTCAGTCGAACTTAAGTATACTGAGTGATTGGGTTTAGTTTTACGCCGTTTTTATCAATATTCCTGCAATATTACGGCGGGGACACCAGAAATAGGCTTCACGCATTGTGCCCATGTAGAGAATCGAACCTGGGTCTTCGGCGTGACGAGCGAACGCTTTAACCACTGGGCTACCCCACCGCCTCAGTTAGAAGCATAAGACTAGAATTTGTGACGACGCAATCAAACTGTTGTTGATATTTTTGTTAGGGGGATTGGTCGTATTTACTCTAAAACATGAATTGTAATATTTTTGTATAACATTACATGTCCTTAACATATTTATATGCACGGACTCCCATGATTTGCCAGTACTGTTGTATTATAGGCTTGAGGCGTAAAGTACCGAATAACATACAGTTTCAGGTCTGATTGACGAATTTCTTGTCATATATGTACATTGTATTGCAAGGATTATGAGGCAGTTACGTCATAATTGCATAATATGACGTCATCTTTCTGTGACCAATACAGTGACGTGTGCAGGACGTCACATTTGATACATAGATTGTCTTTAGTGAAGCTTTTATGACAATGACATACGTCTGAGCATGCTTGAATGCATAAGTTTTCAAACATTAAGGTTATCTGCAGTATGTCGTCTGTCTACTTCAAATAGTAAACGTGGACAATCTCCTGAGGCGATCCAAGTCGCTTTTGAAAAGTTATTTCCCTTAGGTGTACAGTACACAACCCTGTACACTTAAAAGAACCCACGAATCCGTTGGTACATGACCCGATGGTGGCCACGTGAATGCGTGCAAACACCTAGTTGCGGGTACAGCAACGTGCAGTAAAAGTACTGTGACTATGTGTCCTAGTCCACCTAGCTGTGAATAGACACCTCGTAAGGATGGGAAAGCCGCAATAACTCGGTGCGACTCGTGGCTGCAAGAGTTGTATACTCCCCAGGGAGCTGAGATTGATAATACGATGTGCCGTTGAGACTGACATCCAATGATCGAGGGTAAAAATACCAGCGCCTTTAGCATGTACTAGTTGCCTGGATATGTGAGCTATATAAATATCCTATAATATTAATAATAGGCGCGCCAGAAGCCTACGCTCGCCGATTCGAATCCCAGATACGACCTGATTATCAAAGCAGCATGAAACCTAATTCACTCACTCACTCACCTGTCATAATACTATTCATAAACAGTATTAAAGTGACAAGCTGAAGAGGGACTCCTAAACACAGATCACATTGTCAGATGAGATGATGACGTCCATAGCTCGGAGATCACATTGTCAGATGAAGGGATGACCCCCTTAACACTGGGAGACCACATTGTCAGATGAAGGGATGACCCCCTTAGCTCGGAGATTACATTGTCAAATGAAGAGATGACCCCCTTAGCGCTGAGATCACATTGTCAGGTGAAGAGATGACCCCCATAGTTCGGAGATCACAGTGTCAGATGAAGAGATGACCCTCTTAGCGCTGAGATCACATTGTCAGAAGAAGAGATGACCCCCATAGTTCGGAGATCACAGTGTCAGATGAAGAGATGACCCCCTTAACACTGGGAGATCACATTGTCAGATGAAGAGATGACCCCCTTAGCTGGGAGATCACATTGTCAGATGAAGAGATGACCCCTCTTAGCGCTGAGATCACATTGTCAGATGAAGAGATGATCCCCATAGTTCGGAGATCACAGTGTCAGATGAAGTGATGACCCCCTTAGCTCGGAGATCACAGTGTCAGATTAAGTGATGACCCCTCTTAGCGCTGAGATCACATTGTCAGCTGAAGAGATGATAGTTCCCAGTGTCTTAGCCTTAGCTGAGATCACATTGTCAGCTGAAGAGATGACCCCTTAGCGCTGAGATCACATTGTCAGAAGAAGAGATGAATAGTTCGGAGATCACAGTGTCAGATGAAGAGATGACCCCTTAACTCTGAGATCACATTGTCAGATGAAGTGATGACCCCTTCACATTGCTCGGAGATCACATTGTCAGATGAAGAGATGACCCCCTTAGCTCGGAGATCACATTGTCAGAAGAAGAGATGACTCCCCAGATTAGCTCGGAGATCACATTGTCAGATGAAGGATCACATTGTGACCCCATAGTTCGGAGATCACATTGTCAGCTGAAGAGATGACCCTCTTAGCGCTGAGATCACATTGTCAGAAGAAGAGATGATCCCCTTAGCTCGGAGATCATACTGTCAGATGAAGGGATGACCCCCTTAGCTCGGAGATCACATTGACTCTTGAATGGGACTATAGAACTCAACTATTGTAGATTTTCCTGTATTTACTGGTGATCATTTTCAGCACATGCAATAAGACTGAGTCACATATAGTAGTCAAAGCTATCAGGGATGTTTTTATGAACGGCTCATAAAGCTGCACATGTACACAGCCCAAAATGTTTGTCATTTGAAATACCCGTCCATTTAAATATTTTGTAAAGAAAGAATAAATTAATATTGCTCCAGATATATGGTTCTGTCTACATGAAAATAACATGCTGTAACCCAGGGGAAACAGAGGGACGGAATCTCCACATCAGCGGTTTTAACATGAGTGAGTGAGTTTGCTTTTAAGCCGCTTTTAGCAATATTCCAGCAATATCACGGCGGGGAACACCAGAAATGAGCTTCACATACTGTGCCCATGTGGGGAATCGAACCCGAGTCTTCAGCGTGACGAGCGAGCGCCTTAACCACTAGGCTACCCCACCGCCCCCGTTTTAAGTCTCAGGGTTCAAGTATGAGAAAACAACGGGAAAGTTAAAGTAACATACTGCGGGCGGCGAAGGCTACCTCATTCTGCCTTCGCCGAATAAACGCCTCAACTAAATGCCTTCTCTGTTCTTAAGGTGCCAGCCAGCCTTGACCGCCCTACCGATACTAATCCTCCCCCCCAAAAAAAATAAAGGGTGGCAACACACCCAAAGATAAGCACGCATAGTGGCACTACGTCACCAGTATAACCAAGACATATACTAGGAATACCGTGGCTACGTAGACATATTTCCAACATATGTTCTGTATTTATTCCATAGAAGTAAATGATATATCTCCATGGCGTGATGTATGCCATGTTGAAAGTGTGCGATATAACGAGTTTCACAAACCTCTGGCATTGCCACGGAAGTGAGTGAGTGAGTTAGTTTTACGTCCCTTTTAGCAATATTCCACAATATCACGACGAGGGACACCAGAAATGGGCCACGGAAGTGCAGTCAAGCAAGACGGAAATATTAGATGCTACTACTTACGCCTCATTTGTATTTGTTCAATACTGCATCACAGTACTGCACGTTATTCATTCACTAAATCACCCGTGAAGATCCGGGTTAGAATGGATATTCAGTAAATCATGCTTGTCGTAAGAGGCGCCTAACGGGATCGGGTGGTGAGGCTCGCTGACTTGGTTGACACATGTCATTGTATCCCAATCGCGTAGATCGATGTTCCTGCTGTTGATCACTGGATTGTCTGGTCCAGATCCGATTATTTACAGACCGCCGCCATATAGCTGAAATATTGCTGAGTGCGGTGTAAAACTAAACTCGCTCACTCACTCACTCATTTACTAATTAATGTTCCTGACTTGAAAGCACAAGCCGCATACCATGACATGTGTCAACCAAGTCAGCGAGCCTGACCACCCGATCCCGTTAGTCCCTCTTACAACAAGCATGGGTTACTGAAGATCAATTCTAACCCTGATTTCCAGAGTAAGCTGAACGTGTTGCGTAGACTGGGAACGACATCTGATGGGGAATGTGTTTGAACGGATCCACCTCTCACAGGGAAAGATGTCGGCTCTTGAGTGCTTGAGTGAGTTCTGTTTTACGCCGCTTTTAGCAATACTCCAGCAATATCACGGCAGGGGACACCAGAAATGGGCTTCACACATTGTACCCATGTGGGAATCGAACCCGGGTTTTCGGTGTGACGAGCGTACGCTTTAACCACTAGGCTACCCCACCGGCCCTTATCAGCTTATGAAGCAGTGCCTGGAAAAATAAGCAGAAGAAAAATATCACCTGGATCGATTAAGAAATGTGCTCGGTATTGGAACAGGTGTTTCACAAATGTCTCATCTAGAATAATCAATACCTTGATATAGTACTAACGATTAATTCGAACGCATCTACATTTCCGGAACAGTTCTCCATACACTAACATATGTCGGTCAATAGGAAATTAGTGTTGACATTTCCACATTACGTACATAGGCAGGTAGCAACTGATTGATCAAGTATTGACGGAATCTATATGTTATTCACACTTTGCTAAGGATCAAAATCATTGATTCAACAGAAAACTATGATATGGGGTCTAATTTGGTTTAAATATCTAAGCTTATATTGTAAGCATGGATCCTAGGTTTCAGTATGTCACTGCATCTTGTGGATCCCATACCTGCTATTGACAGGTGTTGTGAACTTGTCAATGACTCGTTCCATGATTTGCAAAATAGTTGAAAACCATTTTTATGGTTACTCATATAAAAAGTGCATCAGGTTAGATTAAAGTGGCTGTTTGCCTAAACAGGGGTTACCATATCATTATTGATCTAGTTTTAAATGGATACAATTTCAAGTTATAAATCTATGTCAAAGTAAAGTTGGGAATTTTTGTTATCCTTAACAAAGTATGAGTAGTATATATAAAGACGAAACGGATTGCTCCCTTGAATATCAGACTATCCATTGTACTTTGTGCTCTAATACCACTTTGTAATATAATCTACGACGTAACCGACGTATGTTGGACAAAGCAATCTGTTACTGGCATTAAGGGGCGTGACATGGGACCAGTCAGCCTTCACAAAATAATAGATCGCGCACTCGTTCATTTCAGAGAATAATCAGTCTGTTTCTATGGTAGGACTGTTACGTGCACTTGTGCCATTTTAAATAGTTTCTCTTATCTTTCATGCTTTAATACATTCAGTTTTGCTTATTGAAACTGAATTACCCCCGAACCGGCCCCTGATATTTAACCCGAACCGGCCCCTGATATTTGACCCAAACCGGCCCCGAGAAGTAAATATTACTACATTGACATATGAATTAAAGTTCCTTTAACATAAATGACGAAAACGAGAGTGAACCGTTCCCGACAGGCAATGCGACCAGCAGAACCTTTAGATTTGGATTATGAGGTAATAAATGATAAATTGTTATTATATTATTTTGCTCCGTGAAGAAGTCAAAGTCAATGAAACATGTAGGAGTGAAATTGACTCTCTGTTGATTGTGTCAATCAATCTAAATATATATGTAGATGTTGTATATTAGTGATATATAGATATTATATGTAGACACTATAGCATTCGGGTGCGGGGCCGGTTTGGGTTAAATATCCAGGGGCCGGTTCGGCTTGGGGCCGGTTCGGGTGTATCTCTTGAAACATAACAGCTGTCCTGCTATTAGACTGACATTAAGCCCCAGAAATAAAATTATCCTATTTACAATATAAACATATAAACATACAACAACAAAATACAAGTGGAGCACAGAACAATCCTTAATTTAAGATCGTCACGCAAAAGACCTGGGTTCGATTCCCCACATGGGTACAATGTGTGAAGCCCAATTCTGGTGTCCCCTGCCGTGGTAATAAGTGCTGGAATATTGCTAAAAGCGGCGTAAAACTAGACTCACTTTAATGTTTAATTTCACATAATGGCATTTTATTCAGTGTGAAAATACAATGCTGAATTCCCTCTACCTTTATATAGATTAGAAATCTCAATATTGAATGCAATAATATTTTTCTAAGATCTCGAGTATTTCACTCAATTAATTTAAGAGCTGGAGCGGAGGCAATCTAGACTTGCCAAATCTTTCCCGACTTGAGTAGTATAATATATTCTGTTGGGTCTGGGAGACAGACAACCCTACTACAGGAAGGGGAGTCGTTCCTTGGCACCAGGAGACGCATGGTTTATGAGTGGTGACAGTTTTATTGGTTTATTGGTTCCACCATATCCAAAATGACATTTTGCCAAGGAGTATATAATCACGTGCAGCAGGCAAAGTGTGACGTTGACTGCGGTATCTGCATGTATTGACCTGTGCAACCGACGTCGCCGGTACATGCTTACATAAATACCTACACACTGATGAGGAGATGCAAAGAGATAGACACATTGTTAAGCTCCCTCTTTCTCTCTCATGACACATTTCACGTATAGACTATATTTAATATTTAACTCTCTCTCTCTCACTCTCTTTCTCTCTCTCATGACACATATCACGTATAGACTACATGTAATATTTAACTCTCTCTCATGACACATCACGTATAGACTACATGTAATATTTAACTCTCTCTCTCATGACACATTTCACGTATAGACTATATGTAATATTTAACTCTCTCTCTCTCTCACTCTTTCTCTCTCATGACACATTTCACGTATAGACTATATGTAATATTTAACTCTCTCTCTCATGACATTTCGCTTATAGCAATATGTAATATTTAACCCTCTCTCTCTCATGACACATTTCGCTTATAGCTATATGTAATATTTAACTCTCTCTCACTCTCTCTTTCTCTCATGACACATTTCACGTATAGACTACATGTAATATTTAACCCTCTCTCTCTCATGACACATTTCGCTTATAGCTATATGTAATATTTCTCTCTCTCTCTCTCTCATGACACATTTCACGTATAGACAATATGTAATATTTAACTCTCTCTCTCATGACACATTTCGCTTATAGCTATATGTAATATTTAACTCTCTCTCTCTCATGACACATTTCGCTTATAGCTATATGTAATATTTAACTCTCTCTCTCACTCTCTCTCATGACACATTTCGCTTATAGCTATATGTAATATTTAACTCTCCCTCTCTCATGACACATTTCGCTTATAGCTATATGTAATAGTTAACTTTCTCTCTCACTCTCTTTCTCTCTCATGACACATTTCACGTTTAGACTACATGTATATGTAATATTTAACTCTCTCTCATGACACATTTCGCTTATAGCTATATGTAATATTTAACTCGCTCTCTCTCTCTTTCTCTCATGACACATTTCGTACAGCTAAATGTAATATTTAACTCTCTCTCTCTCATGCACTCACTCTCTGTATAGTAAGCCATAAGAGGCACAGTTAACTGAACGTGCGGCATACTTTCCTGTGGACAAAACTCTTAACTTCACTGGAAATCTTTGAAGTACGTGAAGCCACACACAAGGCTTGATGACATCAGCTTTCAAACTGACATATGACACAATTCACTTTTTGACTGTGTGTAATATTTAACTTGTATCAGCTGTTCAACTGACATGCCACGCTGACTATTGGTCCCAGGAAGAACGACTACTACGTGACCTTCACTACAGGTATAATCACATGTCAAAGTATTGTGAATAATAACAAACACTTTCATTTCGACCCAATATATATCTGGTTGGAGAACGTAATGGAGGAGGACTGGTGTTTTGTGTGATTGAAATATATATTTCTGAGTGTGTGATTTTTTCAATGTTTGTTGTTCATTTATGTTTTTTGGTTTTTAAGAGAAAGCAAGATCCAGCCTGTTATGGGCGACAACAAGGGCGACGTGATCCTTCAGTTGATATTTAACCACAGTATCACTCACACGTAGATCTGTCTCTCTCCGGCGGGGCCCGGCCCCCCAGACCCTCGCCCCCGGGGGAATGAGTATCACATGTTACATCCCGTCCTTATCTCAGCAGTAGTAGTGTTAATGTTCCGTTTTCCCACCAAGCTATCACAATTGGATTGTGTCATTCAGTTGTTCGATAGAATCATTTTACCTGCGTCGCGGGTTTAGTGTTTGACAAATATACGTTGTTACAAGCCAGAACACACAATCGACTGAGATTGTACATTGGAGTTAGTTGCTGGGCACATATATTCACGCTATGCAAAGTTGTAGTCAGCTGACAGCTAGGTAAAACAAAGTATACCAGGGTCGGATCCAGGGAGGGGAGGTGCGTGCGTGCGTGCGTGTCGCCTTCTCCCCCGAAAAAAGATCCCTGAGAAGCATGTCCCCCTAACCTTTGGTTTGGGCTTCCTGATTTATTGTGTCTAACTTCATAGATAAGTATTCAATCATATTCTAAATCTCAATAATGGTAAAGAAATACGTTTTGGAAGGAAGAAATACGCATCAAAATTAGGAAATGACTTCAGATGACGGTAATAAATTCCCTTGGGTCTAGAAATAATGTCATTTTGCCTGTTTTGGATAAATTGATCTTTAAGAATATGTTCAACTTTTGAGACCAGCCACTTGTACAAATTGAGGGATTTTCAAAAACATACGAGAGTCCAGTATTGTCTTTTTTCCTTATTGTTCTTTAAAGTGATAAATAATTGTAAATTAAGTTGGTTAGCTTAAAACCCCCTTCTT